CCACGTTAGCCGCTGATAAACAATCGAGGAGATTCGTCTGGAGTGGTCCGCCAGCAGACTCGCCAATTTGCCAAGCGCCGCGTTCGACGTTGCGCAAGAACGGCGCGTTTGCGAAGCGGAGTGCACTCACTGCACTCAACGTGGGACACAATGCGCCGCATCCCAAGCAAGGCGGCGGCGAGTGCAACGGGAAAAGAGGAGAAAAAAAGCGGCGGCGGAGCCTCGCCGTCCGTCGTTGTTCTCGATGATAAGAGGCGGAGCGTGTGACTGAGCGAGTGCGAGAGCAAGGAGAGGGATGACGAGCGACAAGAAAGGAGGACCTTGTTCCCGTCGCCGCGACGCGCAATCGATAAGCGCAATAATTAAGGCTCGCCTTTGAGATAAGCGAGACAGCGAGAATGAGAACTGGAGAAGAATCGCTTCCAGATATATATTGGCAGGGTTTGATTTTTTAAAACTAAGTTAGGTTCAAGTTAATCGCTTAGAAAATTAATTTAGTCGAGTTCAAAGTTGCGTGAACAAAAATTAACTCGGCTCGAGTTTAGATTAAATTAACTAAAGTTAAATCAAAAGTTAATTTTTAAAAGACATTTACGTTAAATTAGAATTTTGATTTTTATATAATTTAAAAAAAAAACTAACTTTTTCTGAACCTTTAATTAATCGACTAGTTATATTAGCCAACCCTGATATATCGGTAGCAAACAATAAATGTGAAAGGTTACCCCTCGTCTATCTACGAGACGACGTATATAGATGTCCAAGATCGTCGTCCGGTCACGGTCCTCTCGGCCAATTCACGTTTGCCGTGGTGAATCGACTACCTATCCTCGAAGAGACATTACGCAACGCTGGCCGAGGAACGGCGTGCAGTTGGCAGGCAACAAAGTGTGATGCGCACAGCCTCGGCGAAGAAACGGCGAAGAGGTCGCGCGCGCGGAAGAGATTGACAGAGAGAAAAGGAATGGATGCCCAGGATGCGAGAGAAAACGGACGGGGAGAGAGGTGGAGCTTGGTGTGTTGAACAGAATCAGCAATTCTAGCCTACAAGGGGGCCACTAACCGGCGCGCGGACGTTGACCTCCAACCACGACGAGAGCATCATCGCGACGGTTCCCTCTTCCTCGAGCACAATCGTTCGCCGTCATTTCGCACGCCTCGACTTTTTCTTCGGCTCGTTGTTCGCGCGGGATATCGCATCGTCTTATTCTATCAAAGAGAGGGACGGAAACTCCAAGAAACCTTAAGAATGCTCATCGATGGCGGGTTGTTGAACCAGAGACTTGTGTGTTGCTTGCTGGTAACGCGTGTGTCCTTTAGGATCCATTAACCTTTTCTCATCTCGAGGAGAGTACAATACGGGACGAGTTCGGAATACGAGGAGAGTTCCAGCGAAATCGGAACAGCGAGATATAGTCGCGGGGCTGTCGGGTTGCATCAGCGATGCTCTCGCGAATAAATTGTAGAGACGTAAAAGACCAGGAAATTCTCCGGGCGATCTTATAGCATTATTCTATTATTCCATCGCGGAGAATAGCGTCGTGCCATTTTACTCGTCCTTATTCGGTTCAATCCTCATCGCGACTCGATGAGAGAGGGCGCGCAGATATATATATATATATATATAGTATTATATCTGCGCACAAATCGCCTATCGAATTTACGGAATTTATTCGCCGTCACTTTTCATTCCCCAGCGCTATTCCACGTCGCGACAGCACAACAGATTTCAATATCCCGTTCTCTCGTCGCGAAATCGGTCCGCCTACCCACTCGATTAGATCGTCGACGATTAACCGTCCAGACAACGAGGGAGCGCCAATTAAAACTAGTTTTCATTTCGTCTTAACTGCGCCTCTCGCAAACCGACATGTTGACTCAACACACCAGCTGTGTAATTGAATGTCGAGAAAAATTGAGAAACAAGATATGTGGAGAACAACGGCATTATAGGGAAGCCGATAACATTTTTGTTGCTTTTTTATCGATCAAAAGAATGCAATTGTAATAATCAGATGATAAAGATTTTTCAACCTGCTGGAATATCCACGTGATTCGAATACTCGTTCGATCGATAATGAATAATTGGAAATTAATTCGCTGCAATTAATTGTTTCTCCATTCTTCCATTCATTAAACAATCATTTTGAGAAGTCGTATCGCTGCGCGATAACGAGTCTCGTTCTCGGAAATATATTATATTTCGAAAGCAAATTCCTGACGAATGTCGCGTGTAATTTGGATTCTCTCGAATTATCTCGCGCGATCCAAGGCGTTTCCAAGAATAACTGTATCGAGAATCTCTGAACCGCGATCGCTGAAGGGTATCGTTCGCATGTATAAATTCGCGTTCACCCACGTATGTAAAAAAAAAAAAAAAAAAAAAAACTGCGCGTCTCGCGAGTGTTTTTCGCGAAAGCGCAATCGGATAATTGAGGATAAATCATCGACGTTCGGTCTCGGTTGAACAAACGAAGAATCGTCATACTTTTGACGAAATTGATTTGGCAAACAGAGATACGACGGCGCTAATGTCTCGAATGAGAAACTTTGCAATCGTCTCTCTTTTTAGCAAATGACGTTATACTTGGTTATAAAGCGTCGGCACATATTTGTAAAGCTTATTGCTCATTGACAATTTGTCTCCGCGTCTGTCTCGAAATTGGCAAACGTTAAAATTGATTTGCTCGCAAAGCGCTCATTATTGTTTTCGCAATGTTTTCGAGCGATTATTGCGCTGACGCGAGGAAAAAGGAAAGATTATACAAGCTCGCATTTTGTCACGTTACCGCGAATATATAGAGAACTGTAGAAGAAACAGGACTCGCGGACTCGGTAAGGTGATCGGGATGATAATGGTGGGCGAAAGTGACCGACAACACGTGTCTTTTTTTTTTTATATTCATGAAATTTCATAAGCACGAGGCCCTTTGTTTTTATTATCTCTGTACAAAAACAGTCGAAAAATTATAGATTTTCTTTGTTAAAGATTTAATTTCTTCTGGAGTTCACGGCATATGTACAAGCGGGAAATAATAGCCATCGTATAACCTAAAAACTAAATATAATTATACATTGATATAATAGATATAATAATTATAATTCATTATAATTAATAGTAAATCTACGAGTCTACAGATTCGAGTATGTACGTGTAAATGTATCGAGAGTACGTATTGGCGTGTTTGTGTCTCGCGTATCCGCGATCTATGTATACGTGTATCGGGTGTGTGTGGTGTGTGTGTGTATGTGTGTGGGTGTGTGTAATACTCGTGGACATGCGTGTAGACTTGTAAAGCGAATTTTATACAGAATTCATCGAGTGGCGTCTCGCTCGCAGTCAACGCGCAGAAATGAGTGGGATCTTCTTTTTATATATGTATATATATTCGCGCTCTCATTTTCGTTCTCTCCAAAATAGTGCAGCAAATCGGCACCGACAGGACCGCAAAATTCGTACGTCGCGAGACCACGGATCTCGCTCAATCTCAATTCTCTTACTATCGTAAGCCGAACATGCTAAAACGAAATCGCCAAACGAATTCGCTAATCAATATTCGTACAAGTAATTCGTCATCACAATTATAATGAGAGGCCGGAGGCCCATCTTAGCCGAATTGAGCACCCCTGTCGAACTTTTTGCCAAAACGCTCTCTCTCTCTCTCGTCTTTCGTTACAGCATTTCGCATACAAACCCCCAAAAAACCTCCGCAGTACCAGCAATATATTACTTGAAAACCGCTCTCCCATCTCTCTCCATTCCCATAGTGTCTATTACAAACGAAAAACAGCGATTTCTCCAACGAAAGGGAAAGCACTCGACGAAGAGCCGGCCCTCGAGTACCGTTTCTTTCGCCATTTGCGATTCTTTCTCGAAGGAGGAAGAAAAATCCGAAGAAAATACAAAGACTATATTTGACGAGACGCGGCGACGCGCTAAAACGATTCCTTTATTATTTCTTCGAGATGGACTTTGAACCGTCGACGTATACAATTGATCCGTGTGAATCACAGCAATTGAATTCAACGATATATGAATTTGTACGCGGGATAATTTCTCGTAAACGAATCGGAATACAATTGCGCAAACAGTCGGCTCTTATCAACAACGACAATCGTGATTTAACCCGATTCTTCGTCCGAATCTTTTTTTTTTTTTTTATATCGCAACACTCGTGGACGTAATAATAGAAACAAAATAGTTGCGATCGATGTCGGACATCAGACTCCGCGAGCGATAGAGAGCGTCTTCTCTTTATCGCGACGCGATGTTTTTAACGCTACAGAGATACGTCACGCTCCTTTCATTCGTTCGAGCACGTCGCCACGTCACTGCAATGACACCATTGCAATTTGAGTAATTATAACCTCGGTGATTGCACGTTTTCTTGGAAAAAAGAGCAAAGCGAAACATAAGCAACGTTCCTTTTATACGCGTTCGTGTAAATCTGTTACCTCGCAGAGTTGCGATTTCGGCAGACTTTTTCCAAAAATGTCGTTCCATCGTGTACAATATTTGTTCGCTATTAAAGATTAGTATTCAAGATTTCCCTTCCCCCACCTTCATCTCACGCTCCTCCTTCTCATCTATTCACACACGCACGCTGATCTTTCGGTCTGACATGACGCATACATACATACATGCACGCATACACATACAACACACATGCGCTTTCTCTCCTTCGTAAACTTTCTCCTCCCTTCTCTCGCGGATCGAATCTTACTTCTTTTTTTATGATTTATCTTGATTTTGTCTCGTTTTATTTAAAAAAATACTGAATTAGTAACCAAGCTAAAATCACAGACTTGCTGGTGCCTTCCAGCGGGTTTGTACAAATTCTCCTCCTGAAGGTTTCTGTATATATGTATATATATATATATATATATGTATGTATGTATGTATATATATATATATATATATATATGAATGTATATATATATATATATGTGTATATATATATATATATATATATGCATATATAAAATTACAAGATATATATGTATATAATTATGTATATATAATATATGCGCATATATATATATAGTAATTACAATTTATTCGCGCAAAATAAATGCTCGCATTCTTTCCTTTCGCTCCGCTTTCTTCTCTCTCTCTCACCCTCTCTCTCTTTCAATTTTCCGCCTCACCGTCCTCTCTTTCTCAGCATTTGTGTTGACATTTATAGTTTTATATGCATGTTTATGGGGAAATAGATAAGCAACACAGTAGACGTGGGATTACAGAGTTTTCGCGAAAAGGAAAATCGAAAACAAAGGGAAAGAAACGTGCGTTGTCGGCAAAATAATAATCGTCGAAGGACGACGCGAGATCTCTCGCACTTTCTCTCTCTCTCTCTCGCCGCACTACTTTCGACAGATTATATATCGGAGATCGGTTAGTGCTTCTGCATAAAATATGGGATCGTGTGTTTGCTCCCCTCCCACCTACGTCAAAATGAAGGAAACGATATCTAATCTCTCTCTCTCTCTTACCAATTCACCTCTCGCCGTATATAGTAAAGACTTCTCCGCAGATTCTGACGTCACGTGTAGCGAGTCGAAATAACGAGAGCTTTTTTCGATTCGACAAGTTTATCGCGATGATGTGGACGAGTACGTATATTATATATGTATTTAATAGTCTTCAATTACTCGGACCTATCACATGTGACGTCAATGCCAGAAGAGCCGAGTTTATTATAGATAGAGACGAGGTCGAGGCTCTTTTTTTCGGTCGTCCTTTCATTGTTCGCGAACGCGTCGCGCGATTTTCAACGAGTCGTCGTTCGATATTCGAAGCGATATTCAAATCGCATTATTTGCTTCCGATGAATTCCTTTGCCTGCTGAACAGATCGCCGATAAAACTGATACTTTGAGATACGAGATACATGTAAATATGAACGGCGAGAAAAAAAAAAGTCGATACCGTATCGTGTCAAAATACTGTGTCGTGTGTGTAAATTTTCGACCCCGATTAACGAAAAAAAATGACGACCCGATTAGAATCGCGCGAGACACTCGCGTATTCGCGAAAACGAAAAAGATTCTCTCGCACGTGTGTATGTATATACGTAATACATATGTATATATGTAGCATTTACATACCGGTATGTATATAGTAATAATAAGCGCACACGCCGCTCGTGTTTAGGTCGTTACATACGGAGATTGCTTATATTGTCTCTCTTTCTCTATTCTTAGTATAATCACAGACATGGTTTCTATAATTGCTACGTACAGAGCCTTTTCCTTCGTTCGTCCCTTCCCTTCATCTCTTCTTCTTTCCATTATGCCCCATCCAAATCTAAAGATCAATCTATTTGTGACTTATTTCAGCGAGTAATATAAACGATCAAAAACCATACCGAAGTTGGTTTTCAATCAGACATTTTTCCGAGTCTTTCGGTACGATTGAAAACCAACTTCAGTGTGGTTTTTGATAGTCTATATTACTACTCACTTCAATCCGTTCCTAAATTTTTTCGATTGCGATACGATTGAAGTGAGTAGTAATATAGACTATCAAGAAACCACACTGAAGTTGGTTTTCAATCATACATTTTTCCGAGTCTTTCGGTACGATTGAAAACCAACTTCAGTGTGGTTTTTGATAGTCTGTATTACTACTCACTTCAATCGTATCGCGATCGAAAAAATTTAGGAACGAAGACCAACTTCAGTGTGGTTTTCGATTATTTATACCACTCACTGAAATAAGTCGCAGGTAGGATTATCCTTAGGTGTAGACGGGACATTATCCACTCGATCTTTCTCTCACATACACGCGCAGACTCTCACCTCCGTTCTCACGCGCTCGGGAAAATTCACCAAACAATGAAATTTTGTATTAAATTTTTCAATTTTGCGTATTTTATTAACGTATAGAACCGAGAGAAATTCGCAACGTCGACAACGACGGAGCTCATTCCGATCATTACGCGAATTGAACGAATGCCGCGAACACGAAGCGGATTAATCGAGCAAACTCGATTATTATTATTATTATTATTATTATTATTATTGTCGAGGCGCGCGAGAACGAACGTAACGTTGGATGAGCGCCCAATCATTCTCTCCCTCTCTCTCTTTTTCGGAATCATTCCCAATCATTACCGAATCACACATCCACAATCATACGTCATACATCGAGCATTTCACTTACCGAGACCGACTCTCCATAGTAAAATGTACGTCTGTGTGCCTTCCCGTGGATAAAATCACAGCAATTTTATACGTCGTGTTTTCTCTTGCTTTCTTGCGCACATATATATATATATATATATCTCGCTCTCTCTCTCTCACACACACACACACACTCTCTCTCGTTCTCGCTGTCTCTCTCACGCGAAAGATAATATACAATTCGTCGATTGTGTACACGCCCGAGGACAATTTCGCTCGTCCCTTTCGTCCCCGGACCCGTTCACGGTGCTCTATATAACGCTTTTATATATATATATATATATATACATATTCATATATATATATATATATATATGTACGTATGTACATATAAACTCACGCGCTATCGCAAAATTTGTACGTGTATTTGTGTATGTATGTATGTACGCATATGTATGTGTGTGTGTATATATGCACATTTAAAAGTTTGACTTGAGATTTCTACCATCGAGACTCGCTGTCCAACAGTCGAAATACGCGAAAAAAAAAAAAAAAAAAAAAGAATTCACAAACGCATACCGGATTTTTTTGTTTAATCCTTCGTTATCGCAACGTTTCCCGAGAATGTTGTTATACCCAACTCTTCTCGGGAAAAATGAAAATTATTCAGGAAACTATAAATAAATTTAGCCGAGGAAATGTCGCGCGTCGAATCGAATGTTTTTATTTTCATATAAATATTTCCTGAGAGAAAGAAGAAAAGTTGCGTCAACGGAAGGATACACGTTCGATAAATCGACGCCGTTTGTACAACGATCCATCGCGAGATCGATTGATGATTTTGCGTGAACGTGTGCGAGGAGATGATTCTCGACTTTAATAAGATCGCAGAGACCGCGGCGACGCGAGATGGAAGCGTCTTTGTTACAACGATTCAGAAATTTGGAATATTCAAATCGTACGAGAAATTTCGAGCAAAACAGTTTTCGACGCGAACGACAAAACCGACAAACAACTCTTCCGCGTCTCCCGCGAAAATTGCATGATTCGGGGAGCGTCGCGAGAAAAAGAGTAAACATCGCGTTGTCTTCGCGTCGAAAGTTATTTATGGCAACTCGATACACGAATGTGTGTAAAGCGATCGATCGCTTCCCTCTCGCGTGCGTCCGTGTACGAACCTTGATTCGAAATACGACGTGACAAAGTACGTGGAAGAAAGACGCATTCGGGAAGGATGCGAGAGACGGTCCCGTATGTATGTGTGTGTGTGTGTGTTTGTGTAAATGTGCGGTTCCTTTACTCCCTCGAGAAGCCAAGGGGCGGCGAGGCTGGCTGGTCTTCGTTGTTCCTCCTCGGAGGAGGGGATGCTGAGGAGATGCTGAGATCAATTAGACGGCTTCGAGCTCGCTGCGCGTCTTCTCTCTTATTCTTCTTCTTCTTCCCGATTCTCACTCTCCGAAAACTCGACTCGTCGTCTTGCAATTAATCGTCGAGAGAGCAGATTCCTCTTCGGATGCGCGAGACTGGACTAGAGTCGTTCGAGTCGACCGACGCGCGTGGACGAGCTCGCGTTTCCCCGAAGGATGGACTCTCCCCGTTTCAGCAGGAACTCGCGACGACGGAGCGTCGCTCGAGAAGAGAAAGTCTCGAAGAGAACTCTCGCGCGGAACGGAAGGAAAAGGGACGAGAGAACAAACGAAGAAGGAAAGGATCGCGAGGAGGACGCACGCAATTGGGGGAGTCCATGAAAGATCGAGCGCGCGCGGACCTGCTCGGTCCGACGCGACACACACGGGATATCACATATCACGAGATGCACGTGCGCTTCTGCTTTATATATATATATATATATGTATATATGAATATATATATATATATATTTATTACATTATTTCGAGAGCGTGGACGCGAGCGACGACGGCGAGTCCGGCGATTCAGCTGGAGACGTACGCGGCGATCTGCTCGCTAAACTGCGGGTGCTCCAACAATAAGGAGTCCTTGCAGCTCTCGAATTGCTGTTGCTGCTGCTGTTGTTGCTGCTGCTGTTGCTGCGACTGTTGCGGCAGAGTCGGCGCTTGCTGATGTTGCTGGTGGTGCTGGTGCTGCTGATGGTGGTGTTGCTGGGAGAGCTCTTCCGGATTCTCGGGCTCGGTCCGCTCGTACAGGACGCAGATGGAACCGTTCTCGCCGATTCGGTACGACACCTCCGACGGGTCGATCCACATGGTGAGCTCGCTCGGGAACAGGCTGTGCAGGACCGTCGGCAGAAGGCCGACGTTCGCCCCGGCCTGGGCGATCACCGGGTCCATCTTGCCGTTGATGCGGATGCAACGGTAGCCCGAGCCGCGATTCGGCCGATCCGGGAACCAGTGGTCCCGGTAACGGTGGCGCAGCACCTCCGTCAGCGATGACTTGAACATCTCCAATTGACGTTCAGACAGCTGACCCGCCTGCAGGCGCAGCAGGTGCACCAGAAAGTCCGCCGCCGACACGATTTCCAGTCTCATGGTCGGTTACCCAGGGCGACGATATGATGGAATCGGAAAACCTAACGAACGAATATACGGTCGGAGTTGCTCCGGTCTGTTTATGCGCGTGCTCTATGGGCGGCTCGAATCTCTCGTCGATTTTGGATTTACACGCTCGCGAGATACTCGCGTGTCACGGGTCACGGCGCGGCGACGAGTAGGCTCGACGGCGCTGATGATGCCGAAAGAATCGCACGGTAGCAGTTACGACAAAATGGCGTCGTCGCCACGTTGCTGCGTAGCACTCTACAGCGCTGGTCGTACGTCGTCGACCCTCCAGCGCGGCGGAGCTTAACCGCCGGAGCGTCCCACGAGGATTCGTCCCTTCGTCGATGCGACGACGACGTGTCACGACGTGCGCACAGTCACACAGATGTACCCGGAGGATGATCGATTTTTACGACGGAGAGCGTCGTCTCACTCTCTCTCTCTCTCTCTCTCTTCTTTCTTTCACAGCGGCGTCACCTCCCGGCTTTTTCGTCGTCGTCGTCGTCTTCTTTCTCGCTTCGTGCTTGGCGACGTTTTCACGCGCGTCGTCACGCTCCGTTTCGTCCGATCGATTCTGACAGCTCGGGGCTGCCGTCTCTCCGAATCCCACGATCGGATATATCTCTCTTCGCGAACCTTCCACTCTCCCTCTCTTCCCGTGACTACGCGACTCTCGGCCGACGAAAACTTTCTCACGACGCCTCGCGACCGACGGCAGGCTCTCTCTCTCTCTCTCTCTCTCTCTCTGTCTCTCTCTCTCTCTATCCGACTCGCGGAACTCCCGCACTCATCGACTGCCGACGACTTTCTAATAGCAGCGCTCGCGACGATGGCGGAGGTAGCCTCGTCCCTTTGTTCGGCCGACGTCGGCGGGGAGACGAGAAGCGCGAGGCCGACCAATCGGCCGTCGCCGGCGCCCACCGCGACGCTCGACCACGTGACCCGCGGAGCTGCGCGCGCGACCTGCGCGCCCGTCACAGCTGCGTCCCGAATACGGGCCGTCTGCGTGCGTCAGGGATTCTCAACCGAGGCGAGCGCGCGTCGAAATTGGCTAATCGAGATGAGATCGAAATATGGAAATTCATCGATCGAATCGTTTTAAGATATCTGGATAAAATTATATGGCGAGACTCGTCTAGATCGTCATTTTTCAGACTGCTTATGTAAACACGGTTATTAAAAAAAAATGTAAATTGTAATCATATTTTTATTTATCCATTCTTACAAATGAAAACAGATTAAGTAATAAGCGATCTCTCGAACGCTATCCGCTCATTTGTACATACGCGAGCTGCCTCCTTGTTTTTTTTTTTTCGTCGATTAGGTTTCGTTAAATTAAAGAATTATGTAGGATGAATTGAAAAAGTATCGAGTGCTTTTCTAGTTTGATACATCTCGTATGTCGTAGCATCATTTTGACGTTTAACGTCAGTTGCGATGTCTTTTTTCAAACTCCACTCGACTATAAGATGACGATAAGATAGCCGAAGAATGATTATTAGTCCCTCGTACCTTTTGTCCGCCTTTGTCGCACGATCGCAGAACGAATTCGTGGAACAAAGTAAAAGACGGGAGATAATTTGTCGCGCCGATACGATAAGCTGTGGAGCACCACTGACCCCACAGATTTTTAAGTACGAACACGAACGAGGGAACATAAGCGCGAGCTGAGAATCAACGGCGACTGCTAGAGAAAGCGCGTAGGTTTACAATACCACGCAACTATACGTGTATACATACATGAGCCTGGGCGACTGAAAAACCCGCTCCGAGCCGAGATTTGCTCCGAAACTCGAACAACGGCTATACGAGCGCGGGAAGAAAAAAAAGAGGGTCGACCCTGTTCCCTACGAACCCTTCTTTCTCCCTTTGACGCGCGAGTTTCGTACCCCTTTCGCTCGACAAAAGAGAGAAAGAGAGGCCTGGGGGAGACGAAAAAAAAAAATAAATAAAATAATTTCATTCGCTCATTTGGATCCTCCGTCGAGAGCGGAAATTCATGCGAGCGGCGAATTTTCGTGGTCGGGGCACGAAACGTTTCGCCGGAAGGTGAAGCGGAATTCGACGCATCCTCCCTCGCGAGTGGGGATACGAAAGCTGATTCGACCGCGTCGCTATGTGGAGCATTTCATTCGTAATTCCGGGAGTTTGCCACTGCCAAGTTGGCAACCGAGTGCCGATCGATAAGCACGGATTACCGTGTTTCCCTTTCTACGCCGGCGCGGGCGAGTTTTTCCGCGAGAAAAATCGCGCAGACGCGCCGCGGCTCTCTTTGTCCGCCGAGGAATCGTACGACGAGAAATTGATGAGCGCCAAAACCGCTTAATTCCGTACAATCGCGAGCGCGAATCAACCCGATCTTCCGGAGTTATTATTTCGCGACGCGCATCGAAAAATCGTCGTCTAACTTGACACCGGTTTGATTTCAGCGCGACGCAAAGATCAAAAGACAATAAACGCGCGTGCGAAATATGTAGCGAAGGAAGTTTGTCGGTCCTGTGTAAGGCCGAAGGTTGCGGCAGAAATCGATTCGGCATAATACGACGCGATATTCCGAAATACACGTCAGCCCGCGTATTCCGAGCGCGAAGAGAGCGAGAACGAGATATGCCGAACGTGCAGCAATTGGCCGAGGGGGATCGAAAGGGTGGCCGTATATTCAAATTACGTTGCGACCCTTCTCGAAAACTTGACGAAAGGGAGGGGCTCGTCGGAATTACCGACGGTGGTGTGTAAGCCTGACTGGAACTACCTTTCGCCACGCGAAACCAACATTTTCTCCTAGCTACGACCTAGCGACTCCTGCCTCTTGGCTCTAGTCTATATGAGGTTCCTACGAGAGAGGCTGAGCCACAATCTATTTTCATTGGTTCGGTTTTCGCGAGCCCCTTCAAAAGGCCTAACCAATCGCGCCAATTTTTTTTTTTTTTTTTCAATATTTCTCATCTCGGGGGCTGAACCAATGAAAATAGATAAGACGATCGGACTATCTTCGAGAAATCAGTCACGCGCCTTATTCCGATGAATTGTATATAGACCAGAAACCATGTACCGAAGTTGGTTTTCAATCGTCAATTTTTTTCGGTAACCAACTTCAGTATGGTTTTTTTGATCGTCTATACTACGCTAAAAAGTACACTAAAAAAATATTTGCGTAAAATTACATGATTATGCTGGGTTTTCTTCCGATCCAGAATTAATCGTGCGATATTGTTACTCGTATGGAAAATCTGATATATTTTTAAGATTCAAAATATTCCACTGGAACGTGGAATTACACATAGGAAATTCTAGTAATGTATAAATGTTATAAAATAACGTTATAAATAAAATGGATAAGTGCTTATAAGATAAAAGTTCTAATAAAGTAAAAATAGTAAATTTTAAATTCTATATGATTTTTCCATAAAGTAATTTTACCTATATATTTTACATTAATATCGTATATGATTTCAGTTTAAAAACATAGAAAAAAAATTACATATACATATATAGTCGAGTCATATTTCCAGATCTGAACAAGTAATTTCCATGTAAAAGTACATTGATTTTTTTTCAGTGCAGGATTAATAGGATTATCCTTAGATGTAGCTAGGGAGTGTTGGGGAAAATCGTATATAGAAAAAGGAGTTAACGTATGAAGCACAATTCTAAAGATATCAAGTTGTAAAGGGAAAGTCTTCGCATCTATGAGCGAGAGTCGAATTGCGATCTCACGGGTTCGTTGGGTTATTTCGCGAACCCTTCGCGTATTAATTCGACGTCGCCGATTCAGGCCACCCAGAGGGCTACGAGCGAGACTTACGAGAGCGATGACATAAGAGACGACGACGTTTCAAACGCTCCCAGCGATCAAACAGGTTCGCGTTCGCGATTCAAGCAAGACGAGAGGCAATTTTCTCGCCGCTCGACTAGGCTCGATCTCTTCTAGACTCCTTTCTTTCTTTGTGTTCGAATTTCCTACCTTTTTGCAACGAGGGGTTGCTCTCCGTAAAGGCAACATGCGCCGTCCATCCGGCGGAGGTGCACACTTTACGAGAATATCACAATCGACCGGCGTGAGCGTCTAATTTCAAACTTTCTTCCCGGAATCGCTCCCTTCGAGGAACGAGAGATTCTTAGACGCGAGCCAGCTCTCGGCCAGCTTTAGCGCTCCTGACACGTGGTCGAACACACGTGTAGGAAATGTCAGCGGTAGGAAAAAATCATTCGAGGGTCGTTCTTATCGCAACGTGTTCACTGACAAAAAAATCCTCGACTCGACTAAATATTATTTTGTTAATCGAACATACATTAGTATTTAAATAGATGATTTTGTTTTAAATATATATCTAGATAAAATTATATAGCGATAACGATTCATCTAGATAACTTTTGGACAATATAATTTTGAAACCGCTCATGTAAATACAGTTATTTACAGTTATTAAAAATATATTTATACTTTTATTTATAAGTTTGTATCGCTTACTGCTCAAGTTTCTACTACTCAAGTATTTTTATATGCTATATATAACTCTCAAGCAAATTATCCGAACGTTCTAAATAATTTAATGCGGGTATAACAATATTTTTATTATCTATATAAAGATAAGGTGACGGCAAAATTTCATCCAGGCAAACCCTATGTGTATAGAGAGAATATAAGAGAGAGAGAGAGAAAAATGTTTTTTCACTCGAGAACAATGCGAATCACATATTGGACGAACATTATCGTTCCTCACGACGACCATAAAATGTTGGGCTCGCGTTACGAGAGACTATAGAGCGCTGTCTCTACGAGTTTCACGCCACATCCTAGAAACTCTATCTGAGGCCGTGCATCAGGACCGCTCCTCCGTGAGCGGCACGAAGCGAAGGCGGAGCGCGAACGGAGGCCAAAGATCGACGAGCCTGGAGGAAAACGAGGATCTCGATTCCTCGGCCAGAAGCTCGGAGCAGTTTGAGAAACTACAAGATAGACAGGCGCCGCCCGCGCCTTCCAACGGTTTCTCAATTCTCTTTCAGGCCGCGCGCACGAGAAATTACGTCTTCAGAGATCATTCGATGGAATTATTGATCAAAGATTCGGACGCGATATTCCAAATATGAATCTTATGACGATTTCAATGAGCGACCCAAATGTGTAAAGATTATTAGTACGACTTTGAAAAAGTCTCCTCCGTCTAAATGATATACTTGCGAAACCAAGTTTGAAATCAATCTGAAAAAAAAAAGTATCGCGGCGAATGCGAATGTAGAAACGGCAACTCGGTAATTTGCTAGCATCAGGGCCATCTAACTGTTTTGTAGAATCATCCTACTTTTCTTTCAACGGCAGATCACGAGGTGCTCAACCTCTATGCCTGCATCGATCAAAGGAGCTTCGATGGGTGTCGATAGATGAAAGTTGCTCTCCTATATACCTTTTCGTGCTTGCGACACTCGAATCTTGCTTCATTTTAATCAAACAAGCGTCAGCATGTTATAGTAATAAAGATAAAAAATAATTTCTTTTTCCTCACGTAGAGATACGAGATATGCGTTACGAAATGTCACAAACAATATTCAGCCATCTCCTTGCATCGCTTTGAACTCATTCAACTTTAAGGCTCCTCGCCGATCATGTTGGAAACAAATTCTTAGACGCTATTTCGAAATAAAGAAGATATTTCGATCTCTTTAGCACACTTTTAACTACCTTTTTGCCCTTTATAATCAATCAACAGCTGTAAAATGACCGATACGAAGCCTGATTCGTATAGTCATTTCTTCGTGACAAAGTCAGATGTCACGATTCTTTTACAGTTGCCTGATTCGTAGTGTCATAATGACAGATTTGTAGTGTCATTTAATCATACT